ACACACACACACACACACACACACACACACACACACACACACACACACACACACACAGCCTGAATGATTTTTTTTCTTTTTCAATGAAAATGACAGTTTTAAAAAAGTAATAAATCAATTTCTTTTCTTATGACCCAACTTTTTTCAGATTTGGGGAMGTGTTTCTGTGAAGCTGACAGCTATAACAAATTTAAAATCATGACAGAAATGGCAAGARAACAGGTAAATAACAACAAAGGGGCTTCAAGGCTCATGAATTATTACCCTTCCTCCTAAATGCTCAGTCTAGCTGTTATTCAAACAGTTCACATTAGATGCTTTGTGGCATTTCGACCCGCTAATTCATGAGAATCATCCCTTCCTGCTGRTGCACTGTTCCATAAATTCTGAAGCCTCCATCGACAGTCTGTCAGCGACTCTCCGTGGGGGCCTTCGAATCTCCAGCAGAGCTCAAGTAAAAAAAAAAAGTCTGTTTAAGTCTCATCCAGCCTTTGGCAAGAAAACTTCAGTTTCAAGGTTCAGTGAGGACATTTTCCACTGCTGTAAAATTAAAAAAATAAATAAGAAATGATAATGATCAGTCTAATTGGATGACTCAAGGCTAGCAGCATATTGTAAATCATGCTTCATGAGAGCTGCTGCTTTAAACTCACTCAAATTTATATTAAAACTGAAGATTTGTMTGGAAACACTATAGCAGACATGTGYTGAACAATACATTTCACTGTGTCACTGTTTGGTTAATAAAACCTGAGGCAGCAGCAGTGAGCCWGAAGCTAAATCTTCCCCTCCGTGTAATCAGGATGGTAGGGAGCAGCAGGTGGTGTTCATTAGAGCAACAATTGTTGCTGCCCATCAATCTGACAGAGGGTTCCCAGCTTATTACCAGGATTATTTCACAGCAGAACAGAAGACGTGGACGTCAGTGCAGACGAGGTCAGACTGAAGAAGTTCAAGTGAAAATATTAAGGTAAAAACCAGAGGTGTGTAGTCACTAAGTACATTTACTTTATTACAGTCTTTTTATGAGGATTCGTAATTTTACTAAGTATTTTTTATATTGTAACTTACTTTTATTTTTGCTACGTTTGAAACATTAAAATGATACGTTTACTTCTTTACTTTAAAATGTATAATCRTGTTACACGTTGTGAATTTAAATATGACTGATCTCGTCATGAAATYAGTTGTTTGTACTTTAAAAAATAAATGTTGATTTCAACTGGTTCCACTAAACAGAGAAAAACTTTTTTTCTTTAAAAAATATTTGCAAAGTGCTTAATTTGCTCACGTACATAAAAGTAGTTCTGCTTTTCCTCATCATGGGCATTTTATGACTTTCACTTTTCTTATTAGCTAAATTAATTTTTACCAAATCCATTTTTGTTGATGTATTTTTACTTTTACTTAGTTATTTATTTTAAGTACTTTATGAACCTCTGATAAAAAAATAATCAAAATTCTGTTTCAGATTCTACACGACTCAGTCAGGTTGATTGTGCTGATGTTGAATCAGCATTCAAAATATTGTTTTTCTGATTTATTATTATACAGTTTTTTGCAGTCTAACTACTGCAACAACAGCATGGCAATGCTTAGAAACATCTGGAATTCCACTTCCCATCCAGCGACCATCCTTTCTAAAATCTGCACATTTAGATAACAGAAATGGAGAGAAAAGAAACTGAAGACCCTGCAGTCCAGAACCTGAAGGACAGGATCATCTGATGCATCATCACATGTTATTACTCACATTACAGCCTCAGGTGCTCATCTGTTGAAGACAGCGTGTTCTGCTGCAGCGATCAGGAGAACAGTTTACTCTGAGCAGGTATGACTCATTTCWACACCTTTCTGTTACTCATTTCCCCCACTTTTTTTACCCGCCTTTTGGCTTTCTTTTCATTCTTTTACCAATACCCCTAGAAACAGGGCCACTGTGAGCACAGCTTGAACTCTGCTTATCAAACTCCGACACTCATTAGCTTCATTCCTACTGCAGCAAAACCAACAAACACTTTGAGGGAGGATGAGGAGGAACCAAAGAGGAGGATAGAGGAAAAATGTGAAGAAAAGGTGGAGTGAATAAAAAGCTAATAAAATCTGTTTAAGTATTAAATAAAAGGTTAAAATGAGATGCCAAGTTTAAACTTCAGTCATGTGGGAAAGCGTGAGCAGTGTAAAAAGAGGGAATGACTCATAGCTGACTCACTGTGTGTATGTTACTTGCATTGATGTGACATATTGAAATACATGACTGTAAAAAAAAACCTGATGTGTACTTATACACAGACTAATTTGTATTCAGATCAAAAATAACATTTTGAATTGCTCTTTGAACAAATCCTTTCATATCATCATCATGAGCTTCGAAAAGAGCCCTGGTGACTCTTTTTGAAGAAAACAAAAATATTTGTTGAATTGAATTTTGATTGATTTGTTGAACTAAAATAATGTGGCTGTGGATCCTGTATATAAACAATAAAAGCAAGTGACACAATCACATATAAAACTGTAACAACATGTGGCTACAGTTCCAGCATGAGTCATTAMTTACTGACTGAATGACACATAAACAGATGATCCAAACACTCCAGAGACACCTGCCGAGTCCTGACATTTTCAGAGCTGCAGCCTCTGCAGCTTTAATAAAGAGAAACTCATTATACCACTGATTATTTAAAGAGTCCTCAAATGTTAAGAAAAAAAGTGCCAAAGAGCTTTTTTTTAAAAGAAACATATAGGGACAACAAAAAGAAAAAAAAACATTTGATGCTTGTCTTGATGAGTTACATTGTGAGAAATCTATTGCAGAATTACACTGATGTTAAAGATGCAGCTATTTTACAGTAAAGATCAACTGTACATGCTGGATAAATGCCAGCTGTGGAGGTATCTGACATGCAGGTGGAGTTTGAATCAGAGAAACGAGAAGCGTGCTGAGAGATAACCTGGTTTCTTGGTGTCTCTGCTCCATGCCGTGTGCTCCAGGGAACCATACTGAAGAGAAGATCCCTGCTTCTTCTCCATCGGTGCCGCCGCTGCTCTGCAGAAGATGGGAGAGGACAGCTACAGGGGAGGGTCTCGCAGTCATCAGCAGACACACACAGAGAGAGATGTTCTCAAGCAGCTCTGCCAACAAACAGCACCATCTGCTGACCTCTGAACAAAATCACAGAGCTTTCCTCTCGTTTTCCACCCAAGACCAAAGGACAACTCTGTTTTTACAAAAATCAAATCCTTTATTTACACAATTACACCAGTAAATATATCCTTCATCAATCAGAATAGTGTGCAAAATAGTTCATGAATTTTAAACTCACGGTGTAACTCTGCNTGTTCATGGCAGTCTTCTCCTTCAGCAGCAGCAGATCTTCATCAAGAAGTATCCACACACACACACACACACACACACACACTTAAAATGTCAGATATTTATCGTCCAACTAATTACACATCAGATCCTGTTCCTGAGGTCGTTACAGATGGACATTATGGCTGTGGGGGTGTACATTTAAAAAGCCTGCTCACAAGTGTTTAAAAGAAATCAACTTTTCAAATGATATATCTGAAACAGATGTAGATGATCACATCATGATTAATAAGCATCATTTATCTGTTCCATGTTTAAAACAGGACATGCTCTCTTTGCTGTCTTTTTCAGAAAAGGTGGCTGAACATTTTTTTTATTTATTTTTAGTTGTTTTACTTCTCAGCTTTCTCATTTCAAACAAAAAAAAAAGTGCAGAGTTCCAGTCCTTAAAACTGCAGCAAGTTGCTCTGTTTCTGCTGGCTGAATTGAAGTGCTAACCCACTCACCCTAAAAGAGACCTCTGCATTTTTGTTTGCAAACTGGGACCCCTTGTTTGGACATTTCTGGACGGCGGTGGGTGTCTCTCCCAGCGGCACCACGTGTCGATAACACTGCTCCGGAGCGAGCCGAGCAACAAGTGCATCGACTCCATCTCAAGCAAACTGAAGCACCGTTTAGAATATGATTCATGCTGACCCCGCCCCTCAGCGCTGACCCCGCCCCTCAGCGCTGACCCTGCAGCTCAGCGGGGTCGTCTGCTTTCACTGCGGCTGCATATTAGCTTCATCATCTCTGCTGGTTGCTCCGTTACCACAAGAGATATTGTTCTTTGCCAATATGTAAAGATCCAGTTAATGACTGTGCGTCATGGTTAAAGTATGCACTGGGAGTGAAACAGTTTCTGTAAAACCAGCTGTCATGATTTGTCACCACTGTCAGTGTTCAGTCATCTTACTGGGTCTGTTGCTTATAAGTTATAAGTTGATCATAAATTAATCAGTGGAAACAGACAGACAGGTGGGAAGTCTTTGGGTTCCAGAAGCAGCTTAAGTTTCAAAGAGGATTTCTTTTGTTCCTTCATGTGTCCCATTGGTCAGAGGAGCCTCGGTCCAGCTCGAAGCGCAGCGAGGATGGTGGGACGTCAGTTGATGATGCCAGCAAATGTGTTAATTGGTAGAGGAAGGGCTTTGCTCATGTACTTAGTGAGTCCAGCGTCCTTCTCTCCTCCCAAGCTGAATCTGGACCTCACAGTTTTCTGAACACGGTATCCGGGATCCAGACAAGGGCAGATCTCGACGCTAAAAGATAAATGAGTTTGGTTAGTCTGTATCCAGATTACGTTATGTTATTAGTGCATAAAATCTTGATATTGCTTTTTTTTTCTTACCTCTGGACATCTCTGTAGGCCCTCCGACTTTCTCTGTCCAGAGTCAGAGTAAAAGATCGTTTCTCCAAAGTACGAATTTTAATATTARTGGTCCGAATCTTTGATTTCTGCCAAGAGTTAAATGATTAAGTGCTGTACAYACTAGATTTATCAGATATCACATCATATTTGAGTTGTACTTGATGGGATTTGAAGTGCCTTGGTWTTGAAAGTGGTGCTCTGTGGAAAGATTGTGAACAGGAAACATCTTACCTGTTGTAGATGGCTCTACAATTTCAAATTGGAGAAACAAGTCAAACACTACTGGAACAATACAGACTTTTAAAATTCATTTTATCAACTTGTCTTCTGTGTTGAAGGATCAGTGGATCTGAGTTCAACTACTCCACCTAGGCTGCCTTGTTGAGCTCAGATCCACTGGGAAACTTGCTGTTTCAGCAACATTTAATTTAAAACTTTACTTTTGCAGTTAAACACATATTCATAAATAATTTAAATAAATTACAAGTTAAAAAGGGCATGAAAATTCATTTTTTGTATAGAAAAAATACCGAACCGTGAGACTAAAGTATCGAACCAAACCGAATTGTGAATTTTCTGTATACTGTATATATGTATATACATAAATGTATGTATGTATTTTCTAAAAGCAGTCTAAAGTTTAAAAACTCTCTGAACCTTATCAGAAAATTTACAATCTTATTCAAGTCTACCCACATCACATTTTTTTTTAATTTTTATTTTTTATTTTGCAAGAGCTGCAAAAAAATGCCATTATTTTCAGATAAAAGCAATCCAGTTTGGTTTTAGCTGCATTTGAACATCATGCATTTAGCTCATCAAGCTAGTTAGAAATAAATTACTTCTCCAAAATGATGCAGTTCAAAAAGCTACCATTACAAACAAATAAGGTATAAGTTTTCATAACCTCTCCACAGAACCCCTTTTCAAAARGGACAAAKTATCCCTTTCAGAGCTCAACAATTCCATGGCATTGCTCTGACTCACCACACTTTGGTTTTTTGTTTTTGTTGGAGCTTCGTTCAGCGTCAGAGTCAAACAGTTCAAATCTGTAGACGAAGAATAAGAGATGATGTGAAGCGGGGCATTAAGAGTCTTAATGTCAACTTTAATATCAAACTGAGAGAGACGTGTGTTAAAAAATAAAATAATACTGAACCTTCTGCTTCATTGTAGGGAATGGCACTGATCACAGCACCTGACGTTCGAACTGAAAGTCCTACATCAACATCTCGGCCACTTAATGTCACCTGGGGACACAGACAGATAAAGAAAATGGGACACGCCTCGCAGTTTAGAACATTTACTGGCACTACATCTAAGGCATTTGGGAACACCAAAACCTCCCATTACAGGAACCCTATAAGGAAGTAGTGAGTGTACTTTTATTTTTTTTAAACTTGCCTTTTTGTAATTCATAGAGARAACAGCTCCACAGACTTCAGCTGAGCTCTTCTTTTTATCTGTTTGGGAATATGAAGCACAATGTTGTCAGGACATAAAAAAAACTGATAAATAATCTGGTTGCAGAGCTGTTTAATTCTTGTTTGTTTGCCACTGTTTTGTAGCTTTAGCTCCTGGTTACACATTCTGCTGTATTTATTTGAAATCTAATTGGTCATATCGTTTTATTATTTCACCTCTAACTGAAGCTGGGATTTGTCTGAATTCTGGGAAGTCCAACTCCAGATGGGTAAGGAAGACATCTTCCACAGGCTCTTTTGTTTCACTGGTAAATGTAATCTGAAGAAAAACAGGTTAAAAACTGCAGATTGACCCAGGTGCCTCTTTGCACTGCCGACTCAGTGTGACGCTGACCTACCTTCACAAAGTAGATGGTGAAGTAGACGGGCTGCTGGCCGGTGCGGACGTAGTAGGAAATGACGTCAGAGATGAAGGGGTCTTTTGGTATCCCAGGGTTCAACTGATGCTAAAGAAAGAAAAAAATACAAAATAATTATTTTCTTAAGTCCACAATGGCATCAAAAGTCACATTTAAATAGTAACATTGAAAAAAAAATCCATTTAAAGTCAGATCGTAAGTTTACCAAAAGTCCCATCTTTCACAAAATTTGAACTAATTGACCTCAGAGATCAGTTTGAACCTGATTTTGTTGTTTCACAGTATGTGACGACACAACTCTGGGGTTTGACATTAAGCAAAATTCTTATTTATAAATCCAGACTTAAATTTCTAGACTTAGGCATCTCCAACACCATTTCTGTAAATGTATTGGCCTGACAGCATGCTCTTCTTTGGTTTATCCTAATTACAGGATTTAAAGGAGTAGTTCAAATATTATGAAATATTGTTTTGTCGAAAAGTTAGGAACAGTTAATACAGTGTGTTACCTGTTGTAGAAAGCTATTTGAATGTTTTCGATTTGAAGTTTTAGAGTTTTACTCAACAGCGAGTTCAGTCAGGACCCAGGTGAAAGTGGACACAGGTCTTAAAACAATTCAAATGTTTTATGGAGATTCACCCACTTTGGTCTCGGCTTCATTTGGACTAGCTGTAAGCTCATCAGTATGGTCAACATTGTACTCTTTTTCCAAACTCAGGTTGTTCAAAGAGCTATCTCCAACAGGTAAGATACTTTTTCCACATAACCTCATTTTAAAATATGTGATCTAATGCTTTAACCATTTTTTAATTCAAGAGTTTTTTTTTTGTAAAACTAGATCAATAAAGATAAGTTAAAATAGCACATACAAGACAACACCAGTTTATATTTTTCCATTTTTCATTTAGTTCTGCTTACATTACATTTAGTTTACTTTACACTAATGTATCTTTTGCATGGGTCAAATTCAGTGTTTTATTCTTTTCTTCAGCTCTATAAAAATACAAGAAGACTTTCAGTTTAACGTAACTTTACTTGTGGTTTTGATGAAATCAAGAGATATATTTTCTTGACAGAAATCACTTTGGGCAACTTCCTGTATTGAAGCTCATGCAAAACGCAACTGCAATGTTGAATGAGTGAAGAGACCGAGATGCAGTGACATCTTTAAATTCATCTATAAGACAAACCATTTACCTCTGCAGAATATAAAGATGTTCAGCCTATTTTTACAGTTTTTCTGAAAGGAATCATACCATTTTAGCCAGTTTATGAATGGTGCTGCCCAAACTGTTGATGTTACAGTTGTACCACGGGTCCACGTTGCTCAAGTAAGAACCAAGAGTGCAGGGGTTCCCCTTGGTCTGATGAAGTTTTACCTGTGAATAAAGAACAAGAAAGGGAACAAAAAATATTTTTTACTTTGAAACAGTAGGGAAGAAATTAGGTAATGTGTTGATATTTTGTTTTCTGTGGAAGTAATTATAAATGTCACAGATAAAAACAAAAGTCAAAGGGTTAAATATAAAAGAAAACTATTCAAAACTATTAAAGTATTAGTCTATTTGGTATTCTTTCTGTTTTGTTGGCTTCCAACCTGAATTGTATTGGATTTTTAATTTAATTATAAGAAATGGATCGTCACATATTACTCCAGATTAACTAAGTTAAATGAGGATAAACTTGTTCAAAATCATTCAGTATAAAAGTACAGTCAGTATATATTCACTCTCTTTGCTCTGAAGCTCGAACCCAGCAAAAACGGGAGTGTTAAAATTTCAGTGTTAAACTTGTGGATGTTGATTTAAGTTGACAGTGTTAAATAAGCCCCACCCACTGTTAGGTTTTATATAACACTTAACAGTGTTGTTATATAACACCATGCAGTGTTGAAAGAAGTATCCTGAAAAGCCCCGCCCTCTTCCACCTCATGTCAGACAGACCAGTATTTTCTAAGCAAGGAATGCTGGGTAATCTTGTATAAATGATGTGTTTTCATGTTTATGACTATTAAAGACATTCATGAGAGTAAAAATTAGTTGTTCTGGTTAGTTTTCTTGTTCAGTTTGATCAAGTTGTTCAACTTTAAGTTTATGTTATTGGCCAAAAATCGACACCATGAGAGAGAGGTACTTCCTGGTGTGTGAAGGGTGACTCCATTATGCTTTACTAACTACTGAGTGGTGTCAATGCAACACTGCAAAGAGTTTGATTTTAACTTTTGAGTGTTAAATTTACACTCTCAAATTTATGGTGCATTAACATCTTGTGGTGTCTGTTAACCTTCATAACAGCATAATTTCCTTTGTTAACAATAACACACCGGTGTTACTTTTAACACTTTTATTTTAACACACTGGTTAGTGTTAAATTAACAACAAAATYAACACGTTCACAAACGTTATTTTAACACCAGCAAGTGTGAACACATATAGACACTTTGTTGGTGTTGAATTTACCACTGTGTGTGTTAAATCAATACTGGCCTTTTTTTGCTGTGAACCATTACCTTTTGAAGCCATATAATTAGTTAAATAAGATCCACTTGTGTCAAATGATTTCAGAATAAATACACCTGTTTTTACATCTCCTAGAATTAACAAAAGTAAAACACCTCAGAGATCAGGACAGGTTTATAAAACAACATGCCAGAACATCTCACAGGACTGTATGAAATCCGTTGGTGGGAAATGGAAATAAAGATGCCACCACAGAAACTTACCAAGAAACAGTTTTCCACCAAAACCAATGGATCGTGTGAAGAGGACATTAACCAGAAAAGCAAAAAGGAAGTCAAACAGCACTTTTCTGCAGAGGAGCTATATAAAGCACCACTAAAATCTGCACAGAGCTGATGTTGCTTCATGAAAAAAGTGGCAGAAAATAAGTTTCACAAACAAAAACTTTTAGAATTCCTTACAGAAAAAATGGAAGAAAGCATTGTCAAAGTTAAAGGTCTGACCTCAGTCCAGCAGAGAATTGCCGCTTGATAAAGATAACTGCTTTAAAAGATGGTTTGACAAAGAATTGATCTATAWTGAGCCAAGCATTTGCAAACTTCTTCAATTTTACATTGATTAAAGATGAATGTCCGCCTCACCATTTAACTTCATCATTCTGAAGTATTTTTTGTAGATTCGTTGCTTATAATCGAATTAAAAATTCATTTAAATCCCGGATTGACAAGTAACAAATTATATTCCAATGGTGACTTTGTCCTGATTATTGACCTTTAGATGAAATTGCCTCACCTTTGCAGAGGAAGTGAGAGCTGAAGCTGCCCGGACAGGAATGTAGTAAAACTGGAGGTTGAATTTCATTGTGAGACAAAGTCGCCGAGCTTCTCTTTTCCTAAAAAAAGACCACAACATCATTTCATGAGAAGCTCAAAACTGGGAAAGCTGTCAAAACTTGGCAATGCTGGCAGCAATAGCAACAAGGTTTTATGTTTTGAAGCATTAATAAGGTTTACAACAAGTGTTCAGTCATTCTAACCTGTTGCAGTCCACAAACAGCCAGAGAAGCTTTAACTCAATGTGTTGTGATCCGAAGAGTTTTACCTGTAATGGTAATAGGCCTTAGCTAGGCGGCCCACCACCCGGTCGTCCCCCAGGACAACTATCCTGGCAGTAAAGTGTCTCTGCTGCTTTGGGAAGTGGTTCTGCATCATGCTAGCCCCTGCCTGCCTCTGGAGGGTGGCCCTTCCTCCCTTCCCTCTAGCTCCTGTGATGTTGGCTTGGTCCTCCAGGGCATCTTGCATGAGCGCTATGCCATCTTTTGCAGACAGTTTGAGTTTAATGCATTTTCGCCGAGACAGCCTCACCGGATCTTGTTCACTGGGAGGAYGAGAAACCAGATGTCGTTCTGCAGGTTCTGAATCTTTTAAAATGAAGTGAATTTTTACTGGGGTGAATTTCGTTAATATAAAAGCGTGTTTACCTTTTTTCCCARGATGAACTTAAGCAGGGGTTGTCCTGAGAGGTAGTTGGAGATGTGTCAAAGCTGGAGGGCAGGTCCCTTTCGATGCCGCTYTCGTTGGACATGATGGAGAAGCGCGCCATGTCCGCCGACATCGCGCTGCAGGTCGGTTCGTCCACCTCGAAGTCGTCCTGGTCCTGGTTGAGGCAGGAGAAGCTGTCTGACACAGAGCTGGTTCGGAACCACTTGAAGAGCTCTCGCCCTGTTTCCAAGAAAACAAAACACAGATATATAT